TTGCCAGATCTGATCCTGGAAAACTGACTTCATGACCTTTATATAAAAGAGACTCAGGTGCTTAGAGACATGACACCCACATGTTAACTTACCTTTAGATAAGCATTTAGAGGGGCGACACTTGGACTACACTTGACTTTACCAGAGACACATGGTGAAAAACATGGCAGCTGACACTGACACTTTCACTCTGACAGAATAAAGACAGTGACTGACAGTCGTTGCTGAAAACATAGGTTTCCTTACTTGGACTGACTCAACCACTCACTCACTCACTCAACCACTCTGGACATGAACATCCACTCAAAGTCTAACTTTTAAAACACAGTAAAAACAAGTTCAACTTACTTTGTGGCAAGAATTTCACTGAAATAAAAAGAAAAGACATGATTTCAGAGTCACAGTTGTAAATACCAGGATAAAGTATCTCCACTAATAAACCTAATAGTTCTCACTTAAATTGTCTACAGAAATACCCCAGTATTTCTCTATAATATCATTAAGCTGGGGTCATGTTAGAAGCTTCCAGAGCTTCCTGTTGGCTGCATCAGTCTGTGGCGTGGACTTATTTCAGCTTTGCAAACTGGATAAGAGCTCAACTCAAAGACTGAAGTCAAAGAACTGCTTCAGCATCTGCTCCCTGTGAGCAGCTTCCAGAATTCATCACCTGTTTTCCCAGTGATAATCTCCTCTTATACTCACTCAAACTGATACAGAACGTCTTCAGCACAAAACACAAGAACCTTTTTACTCTACAGAGATCATGTGACATCACAGAAAACACAGTAGAAACAAGCGTTACTTACAAGATGGAGAACACTGGGCTGAAATGAAAAGAAAATACAAATAATTTCAGTTGTTGCAGCTGAAAATACTAAAACTCAAACTGATACAGATCCCTTCTCCCTGTTGTTTAGATCTGACATTATTTCTTTTCCTGTAACCACTCCCTTCACCCATCATGCTTTAGTCACATGATCATCAGACTGTGGCTGTAAACCCTGCAGCTCTCACTGGTTGAAACACATTCTGTTTGGCTGGGAACTGAAGTTTGTTTCACTTTTAAAATCTGGATAAAGCATCAACTCAAAGTCTAAAATCAAAGAGTCTGTGGTTTGGTTTCTCACCACTCTTCTTTCTGTAGATGAAGAATCCAACGGCGCCGATGACGAGAGCGAGAACCGCCACTGCAGCGATGATGATGGCGATCAGGGGACTGGACTTCTCTGTGGAGCAAAACACAACAAACCAATCACAACCTGTCGTGATGAAGCAGGTCAGAAGAGACGACCACACCACCTCCCTGTACAACGGCAGTTCAGTCTGTGTATACACACCATATGTTAGTTTGTCCTGGTGTTGTTACTCTCACTTTTCATCCCTTCTGGTCTGTAAATAATGAGTGTGTGTGTG